CTCCTTCCCGCGGGCGCCGGCGCTGGGGGGCCGCATCCTGCTGGGGTGCGCGGTGCGGAGCGGGCGGCCGCTCGGGCGCAGGTGTTCCCGTGCAAAGTTTGCGCGGGTGCAAACAACGGCCGGCCCATGTCCCCGAGGAGCCTTGTGCCGACACCGTGTTTGCTCCGAGAGGCCTTTGTACTCGCAGCGCGCGCACTCGCCTCGACCTGCTCCCAGCTGCTCCCATTCCAGCCCCTTCTCCTGGCCCAAGCGGGTCTCGCCTGGCGCTTGGAGCAGGCCTGGCCGAGCCCCAGTGTAGCACATGGAGCCAACGAGCCAGAATGCTCCGCTGGAGCAGCCGGGCAGCCCGACCCATGGATCCCGCGCGGGTCGGCCGGGCATTTCCCGTCGCGGTCGCTCCCTGAGACCCGAGGCCACGGCCCAGGGGAAGGGGCAGCACCCCCGCCTCTGATCCCCCCGTGTGTGCACAGCGATGCAGATTAGATAGACCGTTTCTGTAGGGAGCCTCTTTTATAATCCAGGTGTATAAATTCTTGGCATATTTCTGGGCGGATGTTGAGTGTATTTACCTGGTTTCAAGGCTGACAAAGAGGGCGAGCGGGGCGGGAAGCGGCGGCAGGCGCCCATGGAGCACCCTGGCTGGGGCAGCCACCCATCGCGACAGGGATTCACAGGGAAAAACAACCCAACCTCCCGCCCGCTTCCATAAAGGCACCGGTGGCGAAGGGCCGTGGCCTGGGCTCTGCCAACGGCTCTGCCGGCCTTCCCGGCGCTCCTGCTTTCCTGCACCCCTTCCCTCCCGCTTCCCGCTGTGGCCTCCGCACTTCCCGGGTTCCGATTCAGGACGGGTCCCCGGGCAGCTCGGCCAGACCCAGAGCTCTGCTTTTCCTCTCGGGTTTTTAGGTTAACCCAAAAAAAAAAAAAAGGAAAGAAAAAGGGAAGCCAAACAAACACTCCAACGATTCATTCTGGGTCAAGTCCAAACATTTTGTTTAACATGAAACAAAATGTTTGGGTTTGGTTTCAGGTTGTTTAACCCTTTTAAATACGGTCAAGTTGATCCGTAAAGGAAAGCGCGACTTGGGAAGGGAAGACTGGGCAGGGGCTGGGGGACCGTGAGGCCGAAACATGCGGGAAAGATCTGAGCGAAGCCTGAACTGAAATGGCAAAATGAAGCAAAACTCAGGGATTTTTTTTTTCCTCCTAATTCCCCCATTCCTTTCTTTTTCAGCCAAAACATTGCCAATTTGATTAAAATTCAGAAATTTTATTTTGATTCAGATTTTTTTTCAAGTTTACTTCAATTCAGATATTTTATTTTGATTTTACTTCTATTCAGAAATGTTATTTTCATTCAGACATTTTATTTTGATTTTACTTCAGTTTAGAACTTTTATTTTGATTCAAATATTTTATTTTGATTTTATTTCAATTCAGAAATTTTATTTCAATTTTATTTCCATTCAGAAATTTTCTTTTTATTTTATTTCTGTTCAGAAACTTACTTTCATTTTTACTTCCACTCAGAAATTTTATTTCAATTTTGTTTCAATTAAAAAAAAAGTTTCAATTTTATTCCAACGCAGAAATTTTATTGCAATAAAGAGATTTTATTGCAATACAGAGATTTTATTGCAATATGGAGATTTTATTCAAGGCCACTTCGCTGCAGCGGCCGCGATCTGAGGGCTCTGCGCTGCTGCGCGATGACGAAGCCGTGAAGGGCAAGACCAGCCGGGGGCCATGACCCGCTTGGGCCCTGGGAATGGGAATCTGGAGGTTAGGGAGGAAAAGCCGTTTTCCTCGTGCTCCGGCCGCCCGCTCGCCGTGCCGGAGCGCTCCAGGATCCCGTGCGGGACGGCTCACGCCGGGGTTTGCCGCATGCGCAAAGCCCCATCCCGCGGACCTGCCCCGCGTGGCTGCGGCCACGGAACGCGCACGGTCACAGGAAGGAACAAAGCTCCTTAAATCCCCTGTGCCGGAAAAGCCACCGGCGCCCAGCCATGATCCGTGCCCTTCTCCCCGCGGCCGTGAGCGCTGCTGGCGCACGCCTCGCTCCCCAGCGGCTCTGCTTTGGCGCTGCACTGGGGACAAAAAGTAAGAAATCTACCCACTAGGCTTCTCCCGTGACAGCTTGAAGGACCCAGAATAACTGATGGATTGGAAAAGCAGCCGGACGGCTGCTCCAGGTAGAGCAGGAGAATATCTCATTCTTCGAGTGCACAAGTGTGACCGGGCGCAGGGCCCACGCTGCTGCTCCAGCACTTCCTTTTAGGCCCGCACGGATAATAGTCTTCCTTTAAGGAATAAACCAGCAATGCAAAATAATGCCATCTAAAAGTGCACTGGCCGCGTTTTCAGATTTGCTATTTTTTTCCTCCAATGTCTGTGCCCATAAAGCAGGGACACGGAGCTGGTGGGGTGGAAGGAAGGAGGCGCTTTGCCTCCCGATCCCGTGGGATCACCCGACCGCAGAGCTGGGAAGTCCTGAGGCCAGGCTGCGGGCTGGAGCGGGAGCGCTTTGCTGTGAGCGCAGGGAGCGTCGCCCGCGTCGCCCCATGCGCTTGCACCGCCGGTCTGAGCCTTGGCCCCGCTCCTGTCCTTGCAATAGGGTCTCCTGGGATCACCCGTGGATAACCATTCCTGCGGGTGGGAAAGGGCGGCAGAGCTGGAGCGGGGCTCGGGGCCGGGGCCCTTCCTTCCCGCGAGCGTCGCTGGCGCTGCCAGGGCTGAGATTTATGACCCTGCCCGGCCTGTTGCCGCCGCGTCCTCCCCGCGCGGGGCAGGAGGGCGGCCAGGGGCGACGCCTTGGGGCCCTGCCGCGATTCGGGGGCCGAGCAGCTCCCGACCACCGAAAACGCGGGCGGTTGCAAAGTTAGGGAGAAACATCCCCCGGGGCCTTCCCATGCGTACACGTATGTATGTGTGGGTATATGTGTGTGTGCATCAGTGCCAGGCGCGCGTGCAAACCCCGGAGGAGAAATCGCCCCTAAGGCGGCAGCAGCC